GATGGATCTATTTTACTTCGCGGAGCAATGTGGTGTTTATAATGTGCATCAATGTTGGAGCAAAACAAACAGGCACTTTGTCCTATCTCTACAGTATTGTAGGTATATAGATATGACTACAAAACTCGTGTAATTAGAACGAATCGGTCTACGACCTCGTCGTTCTAATCAGTTTCATCTACAAAGCAGAAAGTAAGAAAATGTTTTCTTTTTTTCAATTTTCGTTTATTAGTAGTTGTCTATTGTCATTTTAGCTTTACTGGTTTAACTATGACATTTGTCAAATCACAAAAACTAGTTGTGTTCAATGAACTAAACAAACACTCTGGAACAGGCGCACTGCTTTATGCTTGTGTGCCGAATTTTGATATATGCAACCCAGCAATATAGAGGGATTGTTGTCTCGCTCACACTCATTGGGATTAACGTAAAAGAAAGAAGAGCTTCTTCATCTTCCTAACCTCAATGATCCAAACACTTCAAACAGCTGTTCTCAATAGCCGCCATAGTGCAGAGAGAGATGCAAATCCCACTTGGTTGTTGTCCTTCCTGGCACAAACCCTTGCATAGAAACATTATGCAGCCACCGTTCCAGTGTGTTTGTTTGGTTCATTGGTTGTGTTATAGTTTCATAACCTAGTCCATAAACCCACTAGTTGTGTTATGAATTCATAACCTAGTCCATAACACCACTTGTTGTGTTATGAGTCTCATGACATAACTCAAATACTAGAAAAATGGTTATGTAAAAACGTCATGACCAAACGCTTATAGATAAAAGTTTTAACTTGAAAGCACTGTACTTAATATCTTAATTCCTTTATTGAATGAAATTACTCAATTTCTCAATACTCAATATTTTCTTGTTTCTTGAGCAAAAAGTTAAAGAGCTGCCAGAGCTGGCGCAGAAATAAATCAAATTACGGCGTTGATAATAAACCCTATATCACTGTTATCGAAATCCCAGATCCAGCTAATTTGTGATGAATTATTAGCGCAAATGTATTCGTGTAAATATTCGAATAAATATTTCAGGCAGTTTAAAGCTTTGAGAAGCTTGTTTGCCTACCGGGAGTATTAGAAACAAAACATAATTTCGAAAAAAATAATATGATTCCTGTATGTAATTATAATCCTTCCAAACATAACGTTTACCGAGTCTCATCTTCATTCTGTCACAGTCGTAGTCAATTCCTGGCGAAGTTCTGAGCTACACTGGGCCTGTCCTGGAGATCAGCGAAACAAACTTGAAGTACTACAGCGCCGTTTTCACCGACTAATGGTCTGCCAAACAAACATTAGATCTACAGGAAGCTTCTAGATAACAGAATCGCTGATGGATTCCTTATGAGAGCCTATACTACAAGCTAGTATTGAAAGATGCAGCAGTTTATCCCAGTTTCACTAGTTTCCATACACAAATAAAGAAAGGTATTGGTAGTCCGATTGTGCCTCCCGACCATTCCGTCAGACTGTGGACGAAGTAGAGCTGTTCTCGTTTTCATTATGCTTAGTAACCTCATCCAGTTATTTCCATACCTAAAATTCTCCACCTCCTTCGGATCCCCGTGTCTGATTATGATGTTTTTCAGTAATGATTCAGCCAGTGTAACCGCTTCTGGATTGGAAACACTACTGAATAGTTTGCAGAATAGTAGTTGTACAAAGAGCCTGCGATACCGATTTCTCTCACAGTGGGAATCAGACAAGTGCTGCTTAATTTTTTCTCGAAATCGCGTCTTGGTTGTTTCCTTGGAAGCACGCAGGGCGTACCAACCTATCTCTTGCATCATTCTCCAATATCCCTACGAGAGTTGATCATAGGTACCGATCTCTCACTCGATTTAACGTGTTAACGGAGGGGAGTGACAACCACTGCGACTACTGTTTATTTCACATAGCAAACTATTCACCAAGCCCCGTGGCATGCTAATCTGAGATGCTACGCTTTTCTGATATGGACTCTCCTATTTTTGAGTGATTGGGTAATCTTCAAACATAACGAATTACCAATTTCTAGCCAGTGCCGTTTCACCTTTTTACCGAAACTGAAAACTGCATGTCGATATCTGTTTTCTAACCAGCCACAAACAATTTCCAATTATTCTTCATTTCTTTGTTCTTTCTCAAAGTCTTCTTTGGTACGCAATGTCGTCTTAAGAATTAGTACTAGTTTTGATTTTTCTGATCTTCAGATGTCGAACTAGTCCAAAAACTTTGACTTTTTCTAACGATGCTTTATTTCTCAACCACATTGCGGAATCTTACGAGGCGTACTACCAAGTACTACTGATCTAAAGCGATCGTATTGTTTGTCAAATCACATTCCTTGCAGTTGAGGGTGCCTTGGACTTTCTTTGTTATTCTTGAGACCACTAATTTTCTGTGGTTCAGCCTCGCCCACAGTTTCTACTAACATGATCTTCTTGGTCGCAGTTCTAGAACATAATCACTTTTCCAGATCCTGAAGCGCAGTTTCTTTTCATGCAGATTTCTCCAGAGACTCCAGAATCACATCTACCTTCTGAAAAATATCTGCTTTCGGAATTTTTCCTTATATCCTCACATTCCAACGAGGCGCTTTTGACAGTTTCTGCGAGGGTGTTGTGTACTCTAAGCGCTTGCTGCAGATCAGTATTTGCTACTCCATCAATTTGTACTGTACCTTTATTTATTTGTTCAATAAAATCTTCGGTAGGTTGTGGATATGCCAACTGCCAACAGGACCATTTTCTCAATGTTACTACCCAATTTTTGCAGCGACTCCTACGAGCCTTGTGTTCTGCTTTTTTTTTTAATCTGATACGCAATCAGTCGAATACAGCATGCATGCACGATATTCGATTTCATATCGAATAGTTTAGAACACTTTGTCGATCCTGGCAATAACTTTTTGTCTTCGTTCTTGTATCTTTTTTTTTGGTCTTCTGTCTTCTTGTTCTTGCAATAATTTTTAGAGTCGGTCCTGTTTCAGTGGCGACGCGTGACCATCAGTCTGGGGGGAGGGGGTAAATGGTATGGGCGGGTTGAGGGGGCGCCCTCCGAACACGCGTCGCAGGCGAAATTTTTTGCAAATTTCAAAGTCATTCACTTTTCCAGAACAATTATTTCCTTTGTGAGAAGAATAAAAAAAAAAAATATTTCCTTCAATATATTTTGTATTTTCTTTTGGGCATCCTGATTTTTCTCTTGATAATTCGATCCTGGGGGGGGGGGGTAATTACCCCCATTACCCCTCCCCCGACGCGACGCCGCTGTCCTGTTTACAATACCATCTGTCATGTTCTTCCTACTTCATTTTTTTTTCTTCTCTCTTCCGGAATGCTCAATAGGGCGAGCACATGGTTTATCTGATCTTTCATTTCGGTGGTCAGTATTGTCGTAGACGTCTTAGGTACACTTTATTACTTATGTGGTGTCGCAGATAAGTGGGACCCCTCATCCGGACTAAAATAAAGCTTAGTTATAAAAAAAATGCAAAAATCACTACGCTACAATGTTTAATTACTGTCCGATTATCCACTGCCAAATATCGACTGTCCGATCCTTCTGACATTTTCTAGATAAAGTCCTTCTATATCCCCATACCGAAATTATTGTCTGCGACTCACGCCAATAGCAACGGTATATTCGTATATCAAGTGGACAAGCATCGTATTGAAGTCAGGAAGATGTACTGAGCCAATACTGCCGCTTCAGAAAACTCACATTCTGTGGTATAAGTCACTGACACTGATTTTGTAGTCGGGGTGAAGAAATGCGCGATACACATCAACTCTATCATTCTAATCTCGAAGGTTCTGGTAGACGTCAGGTAGATATACAGAAATATATCAATAAGTACGAAAGACGCGATTCTTGCTATTTTGGAACCCCAGCGTATTTAGGGGGCCATCCTTGGGGACCCACCATGTGCTAAGCTGCAGGAAAATATAAACTTGGCAAGACTGCACCACGTACGATTTGCGACTTTAATCGAAATTGGGTTTTATATGTCATTTCAATTATCATTAATAATTTGTCAAGTGCATTGGAAGTTATCGATAATTTTTAAAATTATTCAGTTCCTGCCAAGAGCATCAGAAAAAGTTGATATACATTTTATCATGTTAAATGAACTTGCTTTTAGTGGCAGGCAGAGCTTCAAATTGCCTAATGGACTTTTCAATCATTTTATTCAATTTTTGATTTTATGGGTTTACCTTGTTTTTTCAATCAAGTTCAAAAAAAATGTATACCGGGTGTTCATTTCAAAACTTCCCACCCCTATTCCTATTTAGGATTTTCTAGGGGGTGGCTCTGGGGGATGGGGGGTTGGAAAAACGGAGGTGAATTTTGTATAAAAACTCATCCCATTTCAAATAATAAATGACGTGTTTCAGGGATTTTTTCAAAAAAATTTCAACTCCGAGATAATAGGGGTGTTAATTTCTAAAATGAACACCCTGTCCAGGGATGTCCCAGGGAAAACATTCCACCCTGAAAAACTTTGAAAATAAATTTTTAAGCGCAAAACGGTCAGACATGTTAAATTTAATTTCGCGAGGGGCCATGTTATGATGGCATATACCTGCGTTTCTCTCCCTTCATCACCCTACCCTCCAGAGCCACCCCATGATTTTTTTTTAAATGGGGAGTAGGGTTGAGTGGTACCTTGAATAAATGGTAATTCCACACTACATGACCCTGTTTTTGTTGTCGAGTCTGATGAAGTGTGACGTGTCCGGCCGTTTTCAGCTAGAAATATTTTTAAAGGTTTTCAGGGTGGACTGTTTTCCCTGGGACACCCGGTATATATTTTTTCATTTCCTATAAATCGTAAAAACTACTTATTGTTGATGGATAATATATTACTATATATTTAAAGGAGCAGATGCACTTATTAGAAATAAATTCTAAAAGAAAAACACATTCCATTAATTTCTTCTTATTTCTTCCACAATAAATAATCCAAGTAATGAGCACAATAATGAAAAAATTAAATCTAATAAACAACTTACCTCGAATGCTAGAGCCACCATTTTCGGGCTTACTCCACTTTACTTTAATGGTATCCGAAGTTGCATACTCAATTTCTATTTCTGGAGCCAGAGGTGGCATTAACACAATCAGAAAATACGTTATCGAATCTTCTCCAAATAAGTTGACGGCCTTACATGTGTAGTTACCAGTTAGAGAAATATCCACATCTTTGTACGGCAACACATAAAAAAGAAACAGACTAATAAATATAATAAACAAACAATAAAACTTAAAGTTATCGTATGCTTTAGGCGCCTTATCTTAGAATCTCTGATTGAAACTTTATGTTATTTGTGATGTTACAAGCACTTGCAGGTATATACGCATTGTGTCAAGTAAAAAAAGAACATGACTTGGGAACTTGTGCTTATATTTTTAAAAAGCGTGTCTTGCAGTTCTATTGCTTGGGTATGCGTTGAAGAGTAATGTTTAAAGATAGAAAACTGATAAAATAGCGTAGGTGGTCACATAAATAGGGATAATAAACACTTCAAGAAAACAAGTTTCATGTACGAAGGTACAGAGAGGTAACCTCTGAAAGAACCACATTTGCTTCTAAAGAAACAAAAACTGCATATAAAAAAGCCAAAAACACTTCTCTATTCCATTTTTGATGTAGTCGCTGGGCTATATTATTTTACCAAGCCAGAGAGACGGAATCTGATTAAGGATGATGTGTTTCTTAATCGTACCTAAGCATACATTTATGCTTTTAATAGCAAATAATTGCAAAAATCGGAATATAGGACGGCAATAATAATTATAGACACATTAAATCTATTCAAATAATTAAGTATGTACTAGATTATTAAATATTATGAAATGGTTTCTAATATCACATGCCTTGCAACATCAAATCGATAATTGATTAATTTGAATCATACTAATTGAAGAAGAGTAATAATTGGTTAGACTTAATTCAGGACAGGGTTATAGTTGTCGTAGCATATTAGTTGTCCGTTATAAAGTTAGATATCCGTAGCAACAAGTCCTCACCATAGACTCAAAAAAGATAGTCTGAATAGGCGATGGGCCTCATCATCCAATGGTCCCGTCATCCAAGTTTATTTATTTGCCATTACTACGGCGATATTCCAATATTTCCCTGATTCTGTTTTGAGGGAGACAAGAAATTTTCAACAGTTTTCATGACGTACGTCACTGTGAAGACTTAGAAATCCAAAAAAATCTGGCATAATACGCCAGCTCAAATTATCAGCAAGATTTTTTCAGTTATCTAGATAGGGAATTATATCCAGTTTCTACCAGCATTTTTGCTCATCCAATTTCAAATTATTTGGTTAATTTAAACCAGAAAATATTTTACAATGATCTGGTATCGTGGTTTATTCACATCTCCACCCACACTCATAATTAATTATTGTCACTGTGAAAGTAGAACATAGTAAGTACCTAAATATGGTCGAACAAAGATATTTGCAAAAAAAAATATTTTACCACAAACTTTTCGTTTTCACTTCAATTTTATGTCAGGTGTTGTCACATAAACTGATTCTCAGGTAAGTAACCCCAAAGAAAATAATCAAGCGGATTGAGATCAGGCGACCCTGCCGGCCATTTATTGCCTCTTCTTCCTATACTCCCCTCCTGAAAAACTTGCATCAAATAGCGTCGGACATTTTGCACGTAATTACGCAGGCACCCTCCTGCTGAAACCATATTTTCACCAGGAAGATCTGCTTCTCCATGATGAGGAAATAAACTTAACAAAGCTCGATTCTGTTTTGAGGGAGACAAGAAATTTTCAACAGTTTTCATGATGAACGTCACTGTGAATACTTAGATACCCAAAAAAATCTGGCATAATACGCCAGCTCAAATGATCAGCAAGATTTTTTCAGTTATCTAGATAGGGAATTATATCCAGTTTCTACCAGTATTTTTGCTCATCCAGCTTCAAATTATTTGGTCAATTTAAACCAGAAAATATTTTACAATGATCTGGTATCGTGGTTTATTCATATCTCCACCCACACTTATAATTAATTATTGTCACAGTGAAAGTAGAACATAGTAAGTACCTAAATATGGTTGAACAAGATATTTGCAAAAAAAAAAATATTTTACCACAAATTTTTCGTTTTCATTTCAATTTTATTTGTGAGGTGTTGTCACATAAACTGATTCTCAGGTAAGTAACCCCCAAAAAAAAAAAAATTCAAGCGGATTAAGATCAGGCGACCATGCGGGCCATTCATTCCCTCTTCTCCCTATACTCCCCTCCTGAAAAACTTGCACCAAATAGCGTCGGACATTTTGCACGTAATTAGGCGGGCACCCTCCTGCTGAAACCATATTTTCACCAGGAAGATCTGCTTTTCCATGATGAGGAAATAAATTCAACAAAGTTCAAACATTTTTTTCCCACAAGAAAAGCAGATTGCTCCAAAAATTAGCCTTCACATAATGTCAAAACATTAGGATTTCGCGGCATCTGAATATGATTTTCTCGCATCAAGTGAAGATCTGTTATAGGCCATCATGGAAAGTTCTGCTTATTTACGGCACCGGTTGATGCTAAAGTACACTTATTTGAAAATAGAACCAAGTGCCAGTCTACTGTTGATCAAGTGCATTTATCATAATTGCAGAAATTAGTATTTTGTTTAAACAACTTTTTACTAAGTTGACTAACCTCAGTGCAGATGCACGGATTATTATTTTTTCTTGTGAATGCAGAAACTGGAGTAATTGGGTTTTGCTGGAGATCAAGCAAGCCTTTTAGGTGCGCTTTCTAATCCATTACTCCTTTGTTTTGGTATACCCCACACGTTTTAATTCGCAAAATTGGTGGTAGATCCAAGTGTGGCTACTACTTCTGATTCTGTACGCTCTAGAATTCTTGTGAATGAATCTATATTCCCTGTTCTACTCGCAATCATCATCAACCCAACTATTTACATGTTTAACTTCTCTATGCCTGTCAAATGAATGATCTACCCAACTGCCTGCGTGTTTTTTTCCATACGTCTAGGTCAAGGAAACTAGGCTAGGATGGCCATCAGTTTCTTGTCGACTGCCTGCTGTAAGTCTGCGCGGACGGTCGTAGCAGTCCTAGTAAGCATTCCTCATCGCAAACATTTGTTCGAGGGATAAATTTGATCTTATCGATCGGCAGTTGTATCCAGTGCCATCTTTAGGCATGGGCCAGCTGGGCCCTGGCCCAGGGCCCCCTGTCATCGGGGGCCCCGTCGTTAATTTTTTAAAAAAGTATTCAAATAATAAATGATAATATCAATAATATTAAATGAAATAATATTCAAATAACAATTATTTCAATGTAAACTAGGTGCTGTCCGACCATTTATTTGCGGAACCTAATTGCTGTACTGAGTGGCGAGTGCTGCACTCAGACAACAAATGGAAAACGCCATAAAATATTTCGAATTGTTTTGTTTTATAAACGTCTTTTCAAGATATGACTTGTGACTTGTTTCTTGTAGCACGATATACCTTTTAAATATTATTATTTAGTTAGGCAAAGGTTACTATTTGTTTGTATATGTAGGTACCTAAAAATATGTGTTTCATTTTGTTATTTTTGATATACAGGGCGTACCATTTAAAACGAAACAGGCTAAATATCTGATGCCACGTATATTTTTTAAAAAATCGCTCGTAGACGTAGTTTGATTTTCAAAGGGAGAAGTTTTCTGCAACCATTTCTAGCACTTCAACTTTAACCCCCTAGACGGGATGGGACCATTTCAAATGGAACAAGGGGTCCAGTGATACCTCTTTTAAAAGAGCGTTCAATTCTCTTTCATTTGATGTCATTTGAAAGAGAGTTGAAAACTCTTTTAAAACAGCTATTACTCGACCCCCTGTTCTATTTGGTATGGTAAGGGTTGTTCCCCTCCTCCTAGAGGGTTGAATTAGTGCTGAAAATGTTATCAAATACTCACAGAATTAAATTACGTGGACGAGCAATTTTAAAAAAAAAAAATTGGCATCAGATATTTAGCCTGTTTCGTTTTAAATGGTATACCCTGTATACAGGGTGTCCACTTAGTGCGATGTCGGACGATATCTCCTTACAGGGTGATGCAAGAAAAAAAAAAATACAAAGTTTGATACTCTAATATGCATTAGTTAAAAATATTTTTGAATATACAGGGTGCTCCGTTTATGGGATATGCGAACAGAACTTTCTTATTTTATATGGAACACCCTGTATGTGATTGCATATTTGGATTCTACGTAAAATTCTGAGCAGATTTTATGTAATATACCCTATACCCATATACCCTATAACTATTTTGGAAATATTGACAGTTAAAAATTGACTTTTTGCAACTTTGACAGGCCATAAAACCTAAACGGTAAATTTTAGATGAAAACCGATTTTACATTCCTGTCTTAGATTTTCATAAACTATCATTTAACATCAACTTTGAACTTAATCCATGATTAAATATTTCAATTAAATTTAATCTCCGGAATATTTTTAACTAATGCATATTAGAGTATCAAACAACTTTATAATTTATTTTTTTTTTTCTTGCATCACCCTGTAAGGAGATATCGGCCGATATCTCACTAAGTGGACACCCTGTATAAATAAATTCTGTTCCGAATAATTATTGTTGCTTTTTTTGATATTTTCAAAAATGGGGACAGGGGCCCCCAAATTTAAAAGTGCCTAGGGCCCCGAGAAGGCTAGAGACGGCCCTGGTTGTATCCCACCAATCATCTTGTTCCCGGTCGTTCTTTCTTCCTTCAAAAATGGTTTGATCCTCTAATTGGTCACTTCTAAGCTTTTCGAAATTCCATTTTTGATTCGTTTCGAATCGATCGCTTCTAACTCCAATAAACATTTTTTGTTATATATTGGTAATCGTATATTTTACAAAACCCACTCTAAATAACCCATAATAATATATGGGAAACATTTACGTCGCCCTTTCAAAAGCCTTAAAACAGTAGTAATGTAATGTAACTGTAGGATTTATAGAAGTATTTATTTAAATATTTCCAGAAACTTTATAAAACGTTTTATAAAAATATAAATTAAATGATGGGAGTAACAAAAAAATGGTTATATTAGAGTAACATAAACTTATATATTCTCTATTTCATTATTTTTGGTATTATGTTTGTTTGGTGATGATGCCTCCGTCTCATGAAGGGATAAATAATAGGACAA